GTGCGGTGTCGTATTGCTTGTGTGGGCTAAATTCCTCAGGGATATTTAGTCCTCACACTCCCCCCCCCCCCACTTCGGTGATCTTATGCCCCGCTGGTCCTCGGGTATGTGTATGCGGCGACTACCGGTGTGGTAGCCATATGCGCCGTCGGGGCGCGCGTAGTACTGACGATGGCGTGCGCGGCGGAAACTGGTGCGGTAGCCGGAGGCGCGTGAGATGGCTTCTGTATGGGCTACGGACGCTTGTTGCCTTGTTTGCGCGTTAGTCCCGTGAACGGAGACGGCGTGTGCCGTGGCAGCGCGTGTCGCGTCGACTGCGGTGTATGCGTTGACCACACGTATGGCTGCAGCACGGCATGCGGCGGCAGTGTGCGTTGCTTGCGCGCGTGGAGGTACAAGCGGTGGGTATGCGTCTGGCGGTTGCTTGTGCTTGATTTTCCTAAGACTTTTACTTTTCGCGCCGTTCGGTGTGCTATTTCTGGGTGTTACCGGCGGTCCGCTACCCTCTGTGATGCGCGCTACGGTATGCTGTGTAGGTATTTTGGTTAAAACGATATGGTGGCCGCCACAGGAAACCGTCGTTCCAGTGCTGCCTAGCGCGTCCAGGCCAAGTATGACATCATCAACTGCGCCGGGCATGACATTCAGTACTGCGTGGTGGTATGATTTTCCGATGCGAACCTCAGCTCTTACGGCTTCAAATATCCTGCTGATGGTGCCATTGGCCATGAATACCACGATATCCACGGTTATCTTCTCCCCGTTCCCAGAGCTTATCATGCGTTCCGCTAAGTTGGCTGACACGAAACTTTTCGAGGCGCCTGTGTCGATGACGGCCTCCGCCAATTCCCCTCCAAGTTGTATTGGGGCGTAGATCCGGCCATGTTCCTGGCGCATGGTCGCTGGGTTTTCGGCCCTGGGTTTTGCGAATTCACCGCGTTTTGTCCTGGGTGGAGCTGTCCGGTCGTACCCCTGGCGATGGTGACAGCACTCTACTGTCCGCACATCGGCTCGGCCGCATTTCCAGCAAAATAGCTTTCGCGCGTTGCGGCATCTCCTAGCGTAATGTCCTTCTTGACCACACCTTCTGCATACGTTACTTGGGTTAGGCCGGGTCGTTGGTGGTTGATGGCACTGTAGGTTCATCGCTGCCTTGTGCGCTGGAACTGGATGCCGTTGGGCCGAACGCTCCGATGGATGTTGATGAGGTGATCTGCCCGACCGTGTAGGCGGCGCTTCAGGGTTATCTCCTACAACGTGACTCGCGACTTCACGTCGGGGCGCTTCCGGCGTTCGGCGTTGGTTTTCGAGAATGCCCTCGTATTCTTCAGCGAGTGTGAGGAGTGTCGCCAGGGTATTAAAGTCTTGTCGTCGAATGTATAATAAATAATCGGGGTGACTGTTCCGAAAGATCCATTCCAATTGTTGTTCCCTACTGTATCTGGCGCGGCGCATCAAGCTCTGAATCGCGAGCACGTAGTCCTTGTACTTTTGCCGTGTGTGCTGTCTTTGCTGCCGTATGTCATCCTCTAGGCGCTCGAAGTCCGGGCCGGTAGGAAGAAGCTTAGAAAATCTTGCTTGAAAGGGTCCCAGCTCTTCCAGTGCTCGTTGTTGTTGCGGTACCATTGGAGGGCTTTGTCACGTAGTAGCTCGGGCATGATTCTTGGGAGTAGGTCTAGATTAAACGTGTCTATCTCGGCCAGCTCCTCTAAGCGTTCCACGAAGTCTAGCGGGTCTCGTCCACCGTCGTAAGTTACTGACCACTTCCGTACCTGATCCATGATAAGCGCGATAGACACCAGATGCTCCTTGCAAGCATAATCCAGCAACAAAGTGTTCGCCGATTCCGTCATTTTACTCGTATCAAACATATAATAATTTTTCCTTTGCACGCGTACGATCTACCAAGGGTCCCTGCTCGGGCGCCAATTGTAACGAAGCGTTTTATTCGCCCAGCCGCTTCTTCTACAATGCTGGGGTATACTCGCCGTGTCCAGGGTTC